ACACCGACTGTCTTGTTTTCTTCATGAGGAGTAAGTGTCTAAAGCAGCGGGCTCGTGGAAACACAGACCCAACACCAGCTATCTGAACCACATCTGTTATTAACCTCTGTCTCTCTTCCACAGCATGTCTTTGTCCTGTCTTCCTTCTCTCATTCCAACCAATCACAGCAGATGGCCCCGCCCCTCCCTGAGCCTGGTTCTGCCGGAGGTTTCTTCCTGTTAAAAGGGAGTTTTTCCTTCCCACTGTCACCAAAGTGCTGCTCACAGGGGGTCATATGATTGTTGGGTTTCCTCTGTATGTAGTATTGTGGGGTCTACTGTACAAAATAAAGCGCCTCGAGGCGGCTGTGGCTGTGATTTGGTGCTGTGTAAATAAAGTTGAACAAACTGACACAGGGCCAGAGGCGGTCAGTCTGCACACAGACGATTACAGAGAACACTGCAACAGGAGGCCTAAGATTTTAAAGACAAATGAAATAAATGTTTTATTAATATTTGTGTTTTTACATCTGTAAACGAATGGTGGACATGCCCTCTGCTGTTTGACAGCTGTACAGTGTACTCTCTGGGATCTTTTGCAAACGCAGAGATTATTATTATTATTATTGTGTCTTTGAATTACAGACAGATTGTGTTTTTGTTGGAGCTCCAGTGAAGGACGGTGCACGTCCAGGACCGGCTGTTACAGGACAGTGCATCAGTGCGGGGCTGGCGCTCACCTTGGTGCTCAGCAGCCTGGTGTTTGGCCAGACTGACAGAACTAGGGAAGAACTTGAAGCAGACATCGCACTGGACCAGGTTCTTGAGCTGCCGGGTGTGGTTGGCAAACACATCAGGGTGGTTAGTCCTGTTGTGGTACCACAGTCCTGACAGTTGCTATGGCAAAAGAAAGGTTGAGAGATGTCACAGACTCTGTAGCACACATGCGTGTGAATGCACGTGAAGATGACACATGAATGTGTGCGTTTAGTTGTGCAGTCACAAGTTGCCCAATACTGTCCTGTGTGGGTCTAAGAGGCCTCCACAGCTGAAACATGAATCCAACACACTGCACTGAGCCCATCCTCAGCCACGCACGGTAACACAATCTGTAACACACTGTTGGTGAAGCCACGCATCGATTGACAGCGTAAAGCGCTTTGGGGTCCTTAGGGACTAGTAAAGCGCTATCCGGTTGTTCAGT